CCAGTGCTCCTACCAGCTTGATACATGAGACAGTAAAGCCACCCTCAACTCAGACCAGTGTAATTTTGAGTTCAGAACTCTTTCCTTTCATTTTCCTAATGTGGCATAAACACGCCATCATTGCCAACCTACTGAACACAGAGCAATTTCACAGGAAGCAAATGAAAATCATGAAAATTTGTAATTACAACCTTAACCCTCAAAGAAGGATCAGTGTTAAAAAAAAAAAAAAAGAAATGTCAAAAACTGAAAAACAAACATACTAAAGGAAAGCATGAACCGTCCAATTTATCTCTTTGCCCTTCCAGACCCTTCTCGCCAGGAAGGTCAACAGGTTATATACCTTCTGCTGGATTAATCTACAGGAGAACAAGGGCAGCTAGCCAAGCAAAACTAGATTCTTAAAGGGACACAGCCAACCACAGACTCTCTTCTAGTTTTTGTAGAATGTTCTTACAAATAAAATCTGTGACCAAAAGCAGTGGAAAAAGATGCTGCTACTCTATTTTTCAGTTCGCATCCTAGATGGATAGAAGCAGAGATTTACATGTTCTACCTGCACAGTTATTTTCCTCTGATCCCATAGATCCTTCACAAACAAGTGGGGGTAGAGAATTAAATATAATTTTATTATTTTATTTTTATAAAGATAATTCAAAGAGCACTGAGCATGCTTGGATATAATCTTCTTACACAAACCTCTCTTTTACACCTTTTTTTCCCCCCCCTAAGCTAACAAGATTTTCAAACCAAAAGATCTGCCTAATCCTGCTAGTCTGGTGCAAATGAGCTTTATTTCAATGAGCTACGGAGATGTATGATCAGGTAAAATGAACTTAGGACACATTAATAAATCCTCCCTTTCCATTTCAGTATACACCTGCTGCATGTTCTCTTTTGACATTTCCTCCTTAGTTCAAGCAGTCCAGGTTACAAGAGATTACACTTTGCCTGGACATCTGTCATTAGTGGTTACCATACTGTTGGAAGGGAGGCACTTTGAGGGCTACGCTGATTTATTTTCTCTTTGGCAGCAGCAAAGCAGATGTTTCGAAGGCTTGCACCCAGGCTCTGAAAGCCACTGGCCCTCATGTCTAAGAAATACAGGAGTGTAAAACACCTACCCTTTAGCAATCACATTCTAAGGTAAGAACAAGGTAATTATAAACCTACAAGAGAACAGAAAAACAGAGCCAGTGACTCAGCCAGTAGCACCAGGAACTGGAAAACCTGCCCCTCCCTAGCAGGAAAATGTCTAATTCATATGGTGTTAAAAACAAAGGGGAGTGACTGCATCATCTCCAGAAAAAGGAGGACCCAAGGGGCAGGAACAATAAAACCAAAAACCTACTAAACCCTCCCCCCATCCCCAAAAAACCCCAAGAACTCAAAACACCACCTCCTGCCCCTAAAAACTCTTTCTAATTATCTCGTCTCAGATCTTGTAATGAGCTCCATGCATGTGCCAACTCATGGCTTTTTTACAAGGCTCTACAAAGGAACATGCTGGGCATTTATTTAGCATGGCTGTCAGCAGAAGTTGGAGAGAGAGGAGCATCCGTTACTGTAAATCCTAACAAACTTGATTGTTCCTCAAAGGAAGATAGAAATGCTGTGAAGGTAGAGAATGAAAAGAACACAGTAGACAGTGAAGTAAGTTTAGATTTAAAATAGCATTTGTTACCCTCTACAGAAATCACAGTTAAAAATTACTTCAGATTGGCTTTGGGGAATACTGATCATATTATTAGAAAATTAACAAACAGCTTCAAAACTATGCATAATGATATATATGATATATGAGGCACAAACAGAACCAACAGATGCAGAGGGCATCTACTGGGTTGCCGCAGAGATCTTTGCTAGTTGAGTTGTCTTTAACATCTTAATTAAAGATCTAGGACTGACTCCAGGTAATTTCAATGAAACTTGTGGGTGATACAGAATGAAGTTTACAAACACAGGTGGGTAGAAACAACTCAAAGGATGTTAGTGTAAAAAAAAAAAAAAAAAAGAAAGAACCAAGGGAGACAAAAAGGACTATGTGGAAAAAGTAATCCAAAGAAAACTCAGAGATAAAATCAAGGAAAAAGCCCTGCCAGAAGCAGGAGCTAAAGACAGGCAAGAGTGAGAATGCTGAACAAATGAGAGAGTTGTCTGCAAAGCAAATGCTTCTGCAAAATGACCAATGTGACTTTAATCTGCCTTGGCTCAGATATCACTTCAGGCAACAAAGCGAGATGAATCACTCCTAGTTGTGGAATATTGGATCTCATTCTGACAAAGAAACACAGATAAACTGAAGAAAGTGAAGAGTATAAAAAACCTTCAATAATTAGACCTAGAAAATTGAAAAATATTATTATACCTTCACTAGTATCTTTTAAGAACTTAGAAGATGCAAATACAGAGAGAAATAATTACCAATCATTTCAGAGAAATACACACCAAGACAAAAACTGCTGCAGTAGAGTAAGAAAACTTCTCAGATGTACATTGAGTGATGAAAAATTTGCCCAAGAAAACTTTTACATGGCATGGGGGAGTGGGGGGGAAGACCAAACCAAACCCCAAACCTAACAAATGAACTAAGAAAAACATGAGCTATAGGGAGAGTATAATAGATCTTTTTAAAAAGGTAATAGTAAATTTTCACATTCTTAAGATACAGCCATAGTCAGATAAAAAAGAAAATCATTTTGCTCTCACAGAAGCTACTGAAGACATGATCCAAGGAACTATTTAAGGTGGAGAAAAATGTTGTTTAGAAAATGGCCCCATTCTTCTCCCACCCTTCACCTCCTAGTCACTGCACCCCCTTCTCCAGACACACCAGCACATGACCATATAATTAACTTGCCTGGAGAAGGAACAGATGTGGCTGAAAACAAACTGGCTAAAAGCAAGTGTTACTTTTCCTCTGGATCAGCCCCGGGGCAGTGAACAGCAGTGCCAGTGTCGCTGCCAGTGACAAAGCACAGAGATGTGACAAGTAAGGAAATGAGCACTTTTGAGGGTCTGGGGACAGGTCCACAGCAGTGCCAGCTGCAACTCTTTGTGGACCCACCCCTTAGCTTACACTGGGATGGAACCAAGAGCTGAAAGATACAGAAAAGGACATGTAATACCAAGGAAGGAAAGCTGTGAATGAGCATGCAAACAGAGATGAAAGCTGCATCTCTTGGAAACAGTACTTTTCAGCAATCCTCTCAAAACTCTACTTAACTCTACTTGAATTCTGTGAAACTAATACCAGAAAAGTAAGAAAACCAACAGCAACTGTGATTTTATGTAAGCCACAGACAAGACAGGGTGCCATGGAGCCCTTTTTCTCTTTAAAGCTTGGCAGTACTATCTTCATACCATTTTCCCACAGATGTTCTTCGAAACAGCAACACTGAAGTGCTTATCATAGTATTAGCCTAGAATACTTCAAAACCATGGGTAGCACTAATTTAAAAATCCAAAAGAAGTGGAAGGATCCAAGACAGTGGAGAAATTCCCGGTAACCATTCTCATGCACATTTATTTGCTTCCAGGATCACCTCCAAGAAGACACAAACAGTGAGCTGATAGCCCAGTTTATTTGATAAGACTGCTGCATGCTCATGTTTGAGGGAGCCATTCCCACTGGGATTTAGGAAAACCTGAGAAGGTGTCTGCACCCACTGCAAAAAAAAATGAAAAAGGGACTGGCTGCCCTTCACTGTGCCAGCCCAAGTTTCAGAGAAAACCAGAGTCCCTCAGCATCCAGCAGCCCTAATAAAGAAGTCTCTCTGCATTCACTATGGGACGATGCCAGGCTCTTGTCTGTGATGAGAACAAGCTATGGAAACCAAAAGGCTTTAATTGCACAGGTGACTGTACAGCAGCATCAGCCCAGCCCCAGCACTCGCTGCGTTCCCCCTCGTTCTGCTCCTCTCGCTCCTTCCCGTTCCTCTCTGCCCTGTCCTGCTGCCCTGTTCTTCCTTCTGCGGAAGGACAATAAAACCTCTCACATCTACCCAGCAGATGGACGGACAGGTGAACGAACGCTCTGCTCACTGCACACAGACACCGCAATCAGGTCCCGGAAAAGCCGACCTGTCCCCAGGAACAAGAAAAGAGGAAACATAAATCCAATCCCTAAATCTCTTTTCTTCCTACTCAGCCCCCTGCACTTGCGTTGTTTATGTGCAGAGGAGTTGCAGAACCCCATTCTTAAGGTTAGAAAGTAACACGAGTGTAACTCCAGGTTAAACAAAAACAAAGTTGATAATTACTTGTGGTTAGTTCTGAATTTGTGTTTGTTTTTGTTACGGTTTTTTTTTAACATATGTGACCGTTCACTATAAAATACTTTACAGAAGTCCTTAAAGCATGTAGAGTTACACTTCTTCCCTCTTCTGCAAAAAAAGCCTCATTTTTAGCATCCCATGCAATAAATTGTTTAAACTGAATTATCTGCATAAGATTAAAGATTACTCCGGAAAGCTTTTTGTTTGTTTTTTTTGTGTGTGTGTGCTTGGTTTGTTTGGAGTTTCTTTAATCCTTTCCTGTGGCATGCCACCAAAACTCAACTCTAACTTCAGAATAACTGAACTGGGAACACATTCCCTCATCTTCTGGTAAATGCCCTACAACAACCTACGGACCTTCTCACAGATAGGCTTCCTTATGATTTTTTTTGTTCTGTTTTTCCCCCATAATTTACATTAAAATTTACTACGATGAGTACTGCTCCTCCTTTCCACCCTCCCCAAGCGCATCTCTACGAACCGTACAGAAACCTCTTTTTTTTCCCCCCCTCTCCATGAGCGCTGCAGTTTTCAGCGCCCGAGTTCCCGAAGCGGCAGCGCCGGGAGCCCCTTCCCGGCGGGAGAAGCCGCCGGAGGCTCCATTGAGGATGTTCCCATCGCTTCCTTTGTACGCCTGTGCCTCGCCTGTCGCACACGAGCGGCTCCGCACCCTCCCTTCCAGCCCGTCCCGCGCCCAAGCCATCGCGAACAGCGTGTCCTGACCTGAGCGAGGCAAGAGCGGCTGCTGTTCCGCAGAGCCAGCGGGGACCGGCTTCAAATCCTCCTTCAGCTCCAGGACTTTCTGCCAAGAGAGCACCGAGCGCTGTTACTGCGCGCCTGCCCCTCGCTCCCGCCCGATGCCACCTCCGCGCCCGCAGGGGTGGGAGCGGGGGCTGGGACAGGGGGAGCGGCCGGCTCAGCCTCCCGCTCAGTCAGCATCGTCGCCGCCGCCAAGTCGCGAAGCGAAAAGTTGGCGAGGAGCGGCTCGTGAGGGTGGGCCCGCGGGGCTCCCCCTGGCCGGTCCCGCGGCGGCGGGGAGAGGCGAACAATGCCGGGCCGGGCGGGTGGCCGGGAGGGGATGGAATGGGATGGGATGGGAGCGGGGGGGCAGCCGGGCCGGCGGGAGCGGAGGCACAAAGCGCACACTCACCTGAGCAGCGCGGCGCGGCCGGCGGGACGGCGAGCCCGGGGGGGGGGGGGGGGGGGGGGCGGCCGGGCAGGAGTTTGGGAGGAAAAGGGAGGGTTTTTATTTCCCCTGGAGTTTGAAAGGAGGAAGTGAGGAATGCGAGGAATGAGAGTTGGTATGAAATGAAGGCGGCCGAGGGAGGGAGGGACTGCCGGCTAAGGCTGGGACGGGGCTGGGAGGGGACTGGCGGGGGGCGGGGGGCAGCGGGAGAAGGGCCGAGGCGGAGTTGGGAACAAAACCCAGCGGGGCCGGGCGCTCTCCGGCCGGGGGCCGTGTGTGACCGGGGCGGAGGGAACGCGGGCAATGGCCGGAAGAGGGGCCCGCGGGGGCGGGGGAAGGAAACTCCAGGCGGGCGGCCGGGAGCGGGGGAAGGGGGCGGCTCGGCAGCGCTGGGAGCGGGCGGGACGCCGCCGGCTCCAGGAATCGAGAGCAGGCAGGGCTTGGAGTGCGCAGCCCGGACGGGCCGGCCTCGGATCCCCAGGAACGCCGCCGCTTGCCCGGTGCTTTCCCTGGGGCGGTGGGCCGAGCGGCCGTGAGGGGGCTCCGGCCCGGGGACACCCCCGCGGCTCCCGGGCTCCCCCCTGCGCGGCCCGGCGGCTGCCGAGCCCCTCAGGGACCGGCCGTGATTTCCACCCAGCACCGCGGAGCCGCTGCTGAACAAACAGCCCCGGCCCGACACGGCAGCGGGCTTCTGCCGAGGGCAACCCAGGCAGCAAAGTACTCGCCCACCCACCCGCAAGGCGGTGTCTCCCCGTGGCTTTTCTCAGTCTCACATCGGAGCTGCTCCTTTCGTACCTGTTCTTAGGGGAGTGTCAGCGTGCTGCACTAGAAAATGCTGATACGAGACTGGGAATCGCACTAGGGTTGGAAAGCCCATTCCCAAACAAAAGCAGTAGGACACCGGCAAGCTGAGTAAATGCAACTCCATCCTAGCAGCGGCTCGGGGAATGCAGCTACATCAGCAAACCAAACTTTTCCGCGGCTCCAGCAGGTGATTTTGTCACAGATGGCTGGTGTGTACATAAGTACCTGTTAAGAGTTATAACATAGTTGGCTTTCTTTAGAACTTCAATATATTGAAGAAACTGAGGTTTTTTTGTAAGAACTCAAAGCTAAAAAATGTTCCTAACTCTTTCAAATTGCAGTGGAAATTGCAGAGACCTGGAAACAGGTCCTAAATTAGTCCTAAGGCCTCAGAAACCAGATGGCAAAATCCATCACTACTAAAAATAGGGTTTTCTGATACAACTGTAGGATTGAAGAGTATATACAGTATAAATTAGATGATGTCACAAAAGTCAGTGGAACAATTTGGGGGGTGTTTTGTTTTGTTTTATAAATAAAGCCCTGTAATTAATTTAGTCACTGTTTCTATTAAACTATATGTACTAAAAAAAAACCCTTATGTATATGAAAGGTAATTCACTTCTCATCATATATATTCAGTGTGAATTCTAGAACAGGTCTCATAACTTTGTGACTAACATTGTTTTGCTCCCATTTCCTTGCCAAACCAACAGAGCTCAAAGAGAAGGATTTGAAACCTATTCCTTCCTGTGAATCATCACAAATTGTTTGCAGGACTTCAGTCAGTTGCAGATGGAAACTCACTCAGGAGAATACTGGCTTTTTACTGGTGGGTTTTTTTTACTGGAGCTAATACAGAACCAAACGATTCTGCTTAGAACAGAAAGCTGAGTTAAGCAAATTTATCAGATTAATTCCCCAACCCTGTTTGTACTCTATCAGAATGATTTTCTTATGCAGTTTTTAGAATAACGCCCCTTTTTCCCCCCCATAATAAATTAGTATTACTTTCCCTGTAATAAAAGGGTCGATTCAATTATGCTTGAAAGAAAAATCGTTTGTTTTCACCTACATTTTCAGCTATTTTGTTGCACAGTGGCATGGGTAGCTTTGTATGGCAATTTTAATTGAATCAAATTAAATGTTCAACAATTCCAGCCTCTGGAATATATTCACCCATTTATGTATTGTCTAAATTGAATGTTAAATCACCTGAGCAGGCTATGGTTACCATAGCTTTTACCTTAAAGCATGTTGGTCAAGTTAAGTTTGCTTCTGTTTTTTTCTCCCATTTTGGAACAAAAGAAATGACCTCCAGTTTCCAGTGAGGAAATAATTCAGTATAGAGCACCTTAAGAGATGCAATGAGAAAACAGAAACTATAGAGGGTATAGTTTAAAAGATACAAGAGTTAACACTGCTATGGGATCTCTGCCTTCCTTCCTGGCAGGGCTTTCAACTGTTGCCACCTCATATTGGGACCAGGCTGTTTTCCCTGATAGTAACATCAGTGTTGTTTTTCTACTCTTCAATAACTGTACACTGGGCCAGATCTCTTGGCCCTAGGATTACTTAAGGGATTTTCTTAGTTCTGAGCTGGTTCCAAACTGCAGTTAGGTAAAAATTTTGATCCTGTGGCAAAGATGAGATTCCTGACTGTGAGAGAGGGAATCTGTCCATAGCTCCATTTCACAGGACTACAGACAAACTCTTAACTCACCTTATAAATCACAGGGAAGGGTTTACCTGTCTTCTGTATCAGGAACAGGAAACTTAGCTCAGAGAAACTGAGAGATTTACAGAGCTGTTAATCCCAGCAAGTAGAGGAGAACACTAAGTGGAGTACAATAATTATGCTAACAGCAACAAAACCTGTCCTACTGCTACCAAATTCAGCAGCAAAACTTCAATGAGAGTGAGACTCAGCCCTAAAAGAGCAAGAAATCATTCAGTCTTTTATGTTTGTAAGCCCAAGACCTTATAGCAGCCTAGAAGCCATTTCCATCTGCTAAGCCTGCCTTTAGGGTGCCTAAATGCCTTTAAGATTCCATTTAATATGCTTCTTTAAGATCTCTCTGGGATTTCAAGTATGTTACATTTGCATGTATGCAACTAATATTACTGTGTTAAGAACAAACACCCAGTCGTGTTTCCCACTTAATTTTGTCTCCCTTCTAAGACTAATTTGGAATTTGGTTCAGATGGAAATAGTGGGAAAAACAGAGGTGCTTGAAGAATAAGTCTTGCATGTTGAGAGCTGTGCTAGTTTCTGATCATCAAATTCATCATATCTCCTCTTATGGAGGTTCATACATCTCTCAGTGGAAATAGGACAACAGAACCTCTTCAACTTGATGTTCTTCCTAGCCTTGTATGACTTCAGTACCTGATACAGAAAAAAAAATTTAATGTACTTCAACTTGAATGGGTTCAGATGGAAGGTAGGAAAATGCAGTAAGAACCATTTCAAATGCCCTGCTGGATGCTGGGAAAAGCATTAAAAATATGGGGCAGAGAAATGGAACTAGCTTAAACAATCAAATTAAAACCGTGCACTATAGAGTGAGACCTGAAAATGGAGGCGTGGAGGAAGATAGGAGGAAACGGAGGTAATATCATAGAGAAGGAACAAAGTACACCCACAAGTGACAGCAAGATTTAAAAAAAAATCACTTAGAATTAGAGACTTTTCAATATATAAATTAGTTTATTTTCATTTAGATATAAAAGTTATAAATACAACTAATGTAAAACAGTATCTGATAAAGACCACTGAATCAGTTCATCTGTCAGTACAATTTAACCGAGAGGCCATGACAGGATCATTTGATGTCAACAAATAGCTTGAAGAGTTGCTGCTGACAGGGCTAATTAAGTAAAAGGATGCTTTCTGGGCACACAGAAAATCATCTTGAATCAGAAATTAGCATCCTAGCTTCAGGTCACCCCAAAATAACATAAGGCAATTTCTTTCACGTATTCCTAGTCAGAAGAATAATCAGACAGGTACACAAACTGACTTCCTTTCCTGGATGGGCAAAGGGAATGCAGATCCATCAGCCAAGACTTCAGGAGAGCACAGCTGGAAAACACTGCCAGCTCTCATCCTCAGCCTGATGAGTAGGAAGGCACAAAACAGATCCATCAGCATTCAAGTTCTCTTCACAGACTGCTTTTCTGATAAAATAATATCAAGAAAAAAAAAATCTCAGCAGCTACTGAAAAATGCTCATCTGAAAGATACAATAGCTGGATTTCTCAGCCTCAATTCATATTTTACAGTTAAATACAGCATTTACTTTGTGATTACAATCATTATTCTTTCTGGCAATATCAGAAAACGTCTTCACAAAGTTTTGTTAATTTGAAAGCGCAAGTGATATCTACCGCTGCAAAGACTCCCGAGACCAAAAGCAATATATCTGCTCTGTGCAGCTTGAAACAGAGTTAGTCTGCTGACAAGGACAATATCCAAAGCTGGAGAACACCTAATTCTTGTCTCAGTAGGGGGACAGACTTCTCCAAACCATTATGAATATGTGTAATAGGCAAGAAGCAGGCAAGACAGTAACTGTTCTCGGTTTCCGTACACAGAAGATGAGTGCATTGAGGCCTCCAGGCCACGTCGTGCTGCAATCCACTCTGGTGAGTTAAGGCCACATGAATTAAGTGTTCCATGCTGTGACACACAGTCCATACTGTACACCCAGTATTTAAAACGGAAAATTGGAAGGACACATTGCAAAGCCTTGTGGTACAATTACATTAAACTTACTGATGCCTTTGAAAATACCTGTAATCTCTTTTTGAGGTAACTCCTTATTGTCAGGTTAAAATTATTTATACAAAGTCTACTTTAACATCTCATGCCTTGAGATAATCTCACGTTAAAAAAAATAAAATTGGTCACAAACTTATACCTAAAAATGTAGCATATTTCATCAACAATGGCGAAATTAAAAAATATTTATCATCAGTTTACAGTCTAGATTCAACCAATCCGAGCACTGCTTTTCAGAAGCAGTACTGTATATTGTTACAATACTAACTTCTGCCAAATTCAGCCAGATTCTATCATCTATTCAGTCTCATTTTTCACATGATTAGAAGTAACAGAAGTAGCAATGAATATAATATCACCCACTGAAAAGGGACTGTTTGAGATTTGATTGTTCTTCATTTGGTAAAAGACTGTCAAGGAATAGAGAGAAATTAGAATACTGAAAGGGAAATGGAGTATCAATCTTAGCAGATGATCATTCCACAGAGTAAAAGTCCATTAGTGTATTACACCCAATGTCTTATTCCAGCTGTTCTCTTTTACTCTGAATTCATCTGATTAGGACCTCTTGAGTAGCATCATCTCCCAAGCTTTGTGGAAGCTTCAAGGTAAATGAACATTTAGCCATTAGTTTTCTAATCCTAGCTGCAAGGAGTTCCAGTAAGTGGGCTTAGCCCACTCTCATGCACCATCTGTAAACAAGGATTCTAAAAGCAGAATCAACATCAATGACAGAAACATCACCTAGAGTTCTTGTTCTTCCACAAGCCATACAGAGGCTGCTCCCAAGGTGGTCTGCTGTCAACTCCCACAATGCTCTGAAGGCTGGAATTGGTTTTCTAATAAGCCTGCAGAAATGTATCCTCCATTTCCCTTCCAATATGCTCTTCATTGCTACATCTGAAACTCTTGCAAGATGTACGGGTGGGAGTGAGTTCCATGTTTCATGTCTGTTGTCCCTCATTCACAGACCAATTTACTATCAAAGCTGGAGAGTCCAATAGCAAAGGCCTGAAGAGCACAGAGGGGGTAATTATAGTCCAGAGTGAACACATCTTCTGCTACACGACCAAACTGCATCACGATGTAGTCAGCTAGGGAGAAAAGACATTCGGAGATGAACAATTTCACAGTGAAGCAAAAGAAATAAATAAATAAACAAAAAACCCCCAAAACAAAAAACCAAAACAAACAAAAAAAGCCAAACAAAACCCAACCACAAACCCCCCATCTGCCAGTCCCAAATATATGTGGTTGGTGTATCCATCCTTCCCCACCAGTGGCCTTGAAATCTGTCCTCTAGAGTGACTCTGCTATGCTAAAGATTATTTTTCTTCTCAGAACCAAAGCTCAAACCACTCTTTTTCTACCCTGAAGGTGCTGCATTAAACCTTTTCTTTCACTTCAGGAAACTTCATTTTCCCACTCTTTTAGCTGCAGTTTTGGGCAGCAGAGCCTGCATCCACTCTAGAAAAAAAAGGAGGCCTTACATAATTTTCCTGACAGCTCAGAAGTCCCCAGTAATCCTGAGCTAGCTTCCTTTACCCAGTTTCCCTCCTCTAGGAAGGGTGTCCTATTCCTCCCAACCTTTATGAAATAAATTAGGGTCTCCCTGTTTCAATAAGTCCCCCACACTCTCCACCAGACTCTTACGGTCATTGTCATGGACAATCTGGAAGTTCTTCACTGAGGCCTGAGTGACCCTCCCATGGAAGTTCAAAACATAGGATTGAGTGTCATCATTCCAGACTGGAGCCTTGTTGTGCAATTCAATGAGATTCTCTAAGTTTTTGTTTTGCCATTTTGACAGCAGACCCTCATGCTCCTGTTCAGAAGAAAGAAATATATTTCAGATTTGGAATAGCTCTGCCTCTGAGTACTACCTCTCTTGTGTGTCTACTCTGCCACTTCATTCCCTGTTTAATGAAACACAATGACATCACTTAAACTCAGTCTTACCGAATACTTTCTGCAAGTAACAGGAAGATACTTTCATAGATTCCCAGTCCAAGCATTACTCTTCACTCAATAAAGTAAAAAGAGTGATAGGGAAGGAAGTGTGTGTGTACAGGAAAGGGAACAATTCAGAGTCCACAGATAATTGCTATCCTGCTGGCATGAATCCCTTCTGAGTCTCATAATCTTTCTCTGATCCTGTTGCATCCAGTTTCCATTTCTAACATTCTAAACTTTGAAATAAAAGAAAATAATGTACAATTAACTGCACAGCACCAGGCCCTGAGGTGCTTCAGTAGAAAGTCCAAAAGCTGCAGTGGAATGTAAGGTTAAATGTCATCGTATTTGGTCTAACAAGTGATGCACAGTATGAAAACCAGAGAGAAATAAAAACAAAAATATACAAAGATGAAGTAAAACAGCACATTAAATTTGACAAACAATGAATTACAAGGAGATTCAGGTTGCAGTGAAACATGACATATTATTTAATTTTAAAAGTTCTGCAACAAATAAAATCCAAACTACATACACTAAAACTCTGAAGAAAAAGAGTCCAAGCTTGAGGTACTAATAGGAAAAAACACTCAGAAAACAAAGTGTTGTGGAGGTCTGACTAATACGGCTATAGTATGTACTTCAGTATCATGCAAAGATACCATAGCAAATTTTTGAGGATAACCTAAATAAAATTTCCTGTTCAGTTTAGTTACTTTTTAATTTGATCTTTATTTACTTTTTAAAGATGCAAAACAACTCCCTGAGAACTGGCACCAACTAAGTGCATTTAGATGTAGGGGTGAAAAATAAAGGCAGGGCCATGGAACTATTCCTGTACTAATGGGAGAGATGGCAACACCAATTGAAAGACAATGAATAAATGACCACTTCCAGATACAATTTTTATGACCATTCACAAGAATTAAATCTCTTTTCTCTCATGACTCTCAATTTCCATTCTTGAAGATTTTTTTCCCTGACCCCAGGAAATGCATTCTTGTCCTACTCATATCTACTCACAACGTGGCTGCAAATACATTTTCTAGCTTAAAACATTGACCACGCCTTTCAGTTGGTACCTCTTCATTCTGCCTTTTGGTCTTCTGTCACCAAACATAAAAACGAGGTTAAGGGAACCCAACAATTTTCATCACACACCTCAACATACCTTCAGATACTGTTCTGTCTGCTTTTAGCTATATGCTTCTCATATCTATGAGAAATCCTCACTAAATGGTCACAACAAAACTCTGCCCTTCTCTTCATCCCTCCTTCTCCAAGAATCCTCCTTTTCTGCTACTCCTACAAAAAGGCTAACAGCATTCTGACTGAAAAATGTAGTTATTCTCCTGCTACTGCACCAGCAGTACCTTATCTGTCTATTGCCTATCTGTTGCAATCCACATCCTTGCTAAGAATGTGAGCTCCTGGGAGAAGCAAGTGTGTCCTTGTTCATCCAACCCTCAGCACAACAGGGTCCCACCATGAGGGCAGCTTGTAGTGCAACAGCAACAACACAGATAAGGAAATCATATTTAGGCTGACCAAAGGATACATAAGGATACAAACACTATTCAGAAAGCTACAGATCAGGCAGAAGGCAAGAACAAATTAATTAACACATTTAGGTGACATTGTATTTACTCTACAGGAGACTTGCTAAATCCCTAGCTCCTGAAAACCTGATTGTCAGTAACACCCAGGCCTCTACAGGAAAGTTTTAACCTCTTCCTTCAATCTGAAACATGACCAAACTTCATAACTCACATTTCGTGGACGGATTGGAATTCGCTTATGATTCATGTTCATTCCTGGAATGATCACAGACATTTTTCTGGGACCCTTAAATCCTAAGATATTAGTTTCCTAAAAGGCAAGGAAAACCATTATTTTCAGTAAATGAGATACTTCACTTCAGAGAACGACAGCAAAACTGAACTTTTATCACCTTTTGTACTGGTTTTTAGAATTTTGTTGGCTACAACTGTAGCAGCAGTTATCTAACTGCAACTGTGTTTAATCACTGAGAACTGTTTTCTTTTCCTTTCTCATTAGGGGAACAGTGTTAGGAGATATGCATAGTATTAACTAATTTGGAGTGCATTTCTTAGCCTACTGAAACATTTAAAACAAAATTAAACAAGTGCAATTTCCAGGCAAAAGTTTTTTTCACCTCAGGCAGTAATATGTTGAAATCTTGCTAGTGAACAAGGATATCCTTAAATAAGATAAAAGGCAAAATATCTTGGACCTGACTCTGTATTGTCTGTATATCACCCCTGACTCTGTATTGTCTGTATATCACCAATTAGTCTAAAATGTTTATGAACAATGAATGACATTTTTCTTCAGGTGCTGTTATTTGTGTTAAAGAACACACCTACAATTTTCTCTCAATTTTATAAATGTTTAAGAACAGACCCAGGAAGTGAAGTATTGAGCAACTATCCAAGCTTCAACCTTAAGCAGATTTTTCCAGAGTACTGAAGGAGACTACTGCAAGTGGATTGAGTACAAAAAGCAAAGGAAAAAAGTCCTGGTATTCTCAAACCATTCATTTAACAGTATCAGCCAAAATCCAAGGGTCCATTTAAAGTGTTCTGTAACAATGTCAGTGATAAAATTCTCAAAGGCCAATTAAAAGCCAGAATATTTTAGAAGTACTGAATTGATTGACAGAAGTGATACAGCTTCTCCCAACACTTTGCAGACACAGACAAGGGTCTTTGGATCTGCAGCCTCTACTACTTCACTTAAAAAAAATGTAGGGGCATGTATAAGAATGAGGATACTGATTTTATTTATATTTAAACTTTACAAACTCCTTGTAGATAAAAGTTGAGAATCCTGAAAAGCTGACTATATTAACTGTCTGTGCTCATTCTAACACCCTGCTGTGTCCAGCTAGGTAGGAACCTGAAGAATGCTATATATAAAGGAAATATCTAGTGATACTTCTGTAAACAGACTAGTACTGGAATTATCCATTTTTTTCTCAAGTACCATTAAGATGAAGAGCAAAAGCAAGAAAATGAAGATGCTGCTCCAGGGAGCTAATGCATTTTTAAGCTTTTGTGAGAAAAATAAAAATCCTTCCACTTGACAGCAATTGTTTTGTAGAGAACCTCAAATTTTACTCCAACTGTAGGACTGGAATATGAAACAATACAACATAAGGACTCTCATGCAATTTTGTAGTGTCCACAAGTGCCTCCTTACTCTGAATCCTACACTGAGGTGATTCACAAGAGCAGAAGAACATCTCTAAAACAGAGCTAGTGAAACACAGTTTACCCTGGAACTACATCCTTACCACCAACAAGCTGCTGCTGAAATAATACCAGCTCCCTTCTATCCCTCAAAATGCCTTTGGTTCTGCAAAAACTAATTCTGCTTCACAGGGTACTCCCAGTTTCTTCTCAGGGTCTACTAGATACCAGCTGGGCCAGAGGCAGTTCATGCTGTGGCTGGGTCCATGTAAAGTATGTGCTGACTAGCCATACACTGAATAGGCCAGATAAGAAGGTCATAAGAATGTTAGTTTGGGTGTTTCTCCCACTCCTGACATTAATGGGAAAAAAAAAAAATCAAACTTGTAAGAATTTATCTGTGAGGCCTCTGCTTCTTGTTGTATCTGGTTGCAACTGGTCACTTGGTTCCAAAGTGCCAAAGTGGAGGAGGCTGGCAGCAGCACCATTTTGCAAGCTGTGTTTCCCTGGTAACCAGGCACAAAGAAAGGGGCAAAAAGGGAGAGGCAGTACTTACATAACAAATAGCTGCGAGCTCCTGTCTTGTATGAGCCTTTTCCACTAGACTTTGTGCCTTGACTGGGTTAACACCATGGTCATACACTGTAAATTTGGTTCCCATGAGGTTTGACCTAATGTCAGGTTATGGAAAAACACAGAAAGAGAGGTATCAGTAGAAAGTTTTGTCATCTTCTCAAAGTATTCGTACAGCACAGCAAAAACACACATCTCTTGTCATCCGAGTCTTCCTGCTACCAGCTCACTGAGAAGCTTCCATGACATGCCCATGTGAGCCTGCAATCTATCCTGGAAAAGAATCTAGACAATTTCTTTTCTGAGTTGCCACAGTGAATGGTAATGCTGAAGAAGGCTGCCAAGCCAAGTGAATACAGATTACAATGAGCAAAACAATGCAAGTTCATGCTCTTTGAATTTACAACAGATTGCCAGTCATAACCACAACTCAATTAAAATTAAAATCCTCTCTCAACTGTCTATAGTTTTCATCTGTGGTTCTCACCTGAGTTTTCCAATGAAACTTTCCCCTTTCCGAGATAAATCAGTTGGGTCAACTGATATGAGGTAATTGGATGTTTTGCTCTTCTTTCTTTTTCTCCCTGCAAGAAGGAATGTCTGGAAAAACAAAACTTTGATCAAGACTGGTGCTTTGCAAGAATGCAGAGGCATTGCTAATCCAAACTGTTATCTCTCCATTTCCCACATGCATTCCCTTTTTTGTTCTGGGCTAATATTACTGTCTCCACAATTTTGTTCTCTTCCAAAGTTCCCAGCCTGAAATCCTATCCCTCCATCAGCTCACTTGGCAGTCTAGATTTAATGCTATGTCCTTTCTAGTCTTCCCTCCTTGTCTTCTGGAGCAACTCAGTCTTCCTACTATTTTTTAACATTTTCATACTTTTTCAATTTCATCTTTCACTGTATTATGGCCTTTAAACAACAATACAATGATAATTACATACTAATTCTCTCCTTAGTACCTCAGCCAAATAAAAGCTGTCCTCATCTGCATGATGACTCTCCACAGCTATTGCTTTCTTACCAAAAGCTCTCCCTTGCACCAAAAATATTCTGTGGTAGGACTACAATAGCCAAGATAATGTGTGCTGCTTCCAATACCTTTTTGTTGTCATCCCTTTCCAGATGCATGTAGTAAGTAGGGAAGAGTCCCCGGTCCATTCCCTTTTTATCTCTAGTGATTCGACACTTTACACTAATTCCACGGGGTGCAGGGCGCAATGCAAAATCCTCCAAGTTCTCTACTTCTCCCAGCTGTGCATCTGCCTGAGGGGATGGACTACAGGAAGCACCTGTTTCCTATGGGAAGAAGCATCATATTAGCAAATTAATATCAGACCAGAGTCTCTGGTATTCCACAGGAAAATAGTGGTCTGTTGAAAAGTAAGATATCATCTCCAGAAGATACTGGGGAAAGGAAGGTTAAACAAGATACCACCTGTTTCTTCACAAGAAAGCAGCTGAAGGTTTTACTCTGAGGAAAGACTAGGTCTCCAAGGGGAAAAGAGAAGAAGTACCCACTAAGCAGACATGAGTGATTTACTAGAAAGGGGGAAATAGGATGAGATGCTGCGAATATTCTAAGCAAAGAACCTCTTTGCTTTTAGAACTTTAAACACTGTGGAAAATAAGACAGTATGATAAAGCAAGACTGATGGATGCTGCAGTAAGACAGGCTGGGATTTTGTGACTGAAATGAGTGCTGAGATTATATTGGTTCAGAACAGAAGCAGAAATGGAGTAGGCTGCTTATGGAACCATATCAACTAAATGTTGGAAGAGCCTTATAACAATGTGTATAATCAGGATGCATAGAGTAATCAAAGGAATTGGAATTCTAATGGAAATCTGGTATAGGTCATTAAAGCAATTTTTTCTTAGACATTGCTGAATCCTGTGAATTGTAGCACCCAAGAGATTCCTCTTTGACTGGGCCTTCAAGATGAAGTTGCAGGTTTATCCCCATTCCCAGCAACAGCCAGTAGGAAACCTGAGTGAATAGCACAGACACACATACATAGATTTGAAATTCACGAGAGGGTCTCACCCCTTCCCCTTCCCCACCTCCAGCATCCACCGCCCTCTAGCATTTTGCACCCACAGCCCAGTCTCCCAAGAAGCTGACACTCAGACCTCTTGCACTACTCCCCTACTAGTGCAGGGCAACATACACATAGTCACCTCACAAATACACTCAGGTGGGTCTCCCACAGCATGGACTCTGAAGGGTGTCCTGCATCCATGCTCATACCCCGTGGTCTTTATCTGGTCTGAGCTAGCTCACACCCTCTGTCTTCCTGATACTGGTCTCTTCCAACTCACTGGCTTGTCCAGCACATAATTTGTCAACATATGTATGTGTATCTCACACACACACACACAGACACATTCACATAAGAAAGAGAAGTGGAGTTTCAGAAGAGAGTGGGACACGCTAAAGTAATCAAGGCATAAGGATTGGGCAGACAATCATACTGTTTTGCAGTTGTTTACACATATCTGACGCCTTTTACCCCCTTTAATCCTTGTCTTCTATGCTTATTACTCCCTGATCCACCTTGATATAACCTTCTTTTCCCTCTTAAGTTCCTTACCCCAAACATCCCATATGATGTTTGTCCAATCCCAGCATTCTCTGTTCCATTCCAAAATGCTGTTTCCCTTTGCATCCCGTAATAAATGCTATAAACCTTCAGGAAGAAATCCCTCCTATGTTTGCATGGCATTTCAGAGCTTCTTGGAGTTATTTTGGTGAATTTTGCAGGGACAATGGCCCAGTCTGTCCCCTTTAATGGTAATAGTGCTGACTCACTGTGTTCCCATATTCACTGATTAGGCTCTCTGGGATCCTCCACCCACAATTGTTCCTTTGATCATTGCTAAGTCTTTATGTTTAACTCTTCAGTCAGATAACCTAGCAATCTTGACCTTCCTCTGCTTTCAGGGAATAATATTGCTGGCTACTGTACTTGCAGCTATTGTATTTTAACCCAGTGCTCCAGGGATTAGCACTAACATCAGGCATGTGCCCACTGCTCATCAGAAATGGATTTCATGACACTTACTGCAAAAGACTTCTCACTGGATGCAGAACTAGGCCTCTCAGATTCAGGGCATGGTGAATGAGATACTGGTCTCTTACTAACTTCTTCCTCTTCTGTGTCCTCCTCATCAAAATTCAAACTGCCTGAAATTCCTGTCAGAATACACAATTAAGCATGTAATCCCTGAAAGAAAGTTCATGGCATCACTAATTCATATACGATTCTTGAATATTAATTTCTGTTTTTTCAATTGCTGATTCTTAATTTCTGTTTCAACTGCTAGTTTTCTTCATGTGCTATATCTCTTCCTGAGCCTTGTAATTCAAATTCCTACTGATATTTTGCAGCAGTCACTGTGCAGATGATTAGGGAGCTGTCACATCTTTATTAATATGGATTTTACTTGCTATTCCATGATATAACATATTGCTTTGTTTATATTGTCATTTAATTAATTTTTCATATTTTCATGCAAAATGTCCTTCATGTATTAAGAACAACAATAAAAGGAAATCCAGATCAATATGCTGACACCTATCCCATAAATTGGGCTCTGTACAGTTTACATCCTTTACCATTTTCCCTCAGTCCTACACACACTGAAACAGTATGTCAATTTTTTAGTAAGAGCCCCTCCTGTTCTTACAAAAGTACCAAAACCTCAGGTCCATAAATACTAATAATGACTTGATTTCTAAAACTGAAGCACAGACTGAGAAGTTTCAGGACTTATTTAATCTTAACCTAAGTACAGTCATGTAGAGATGACTGTGGGTATGTAGCTAAAATAACTGCATAAAGACATTTATAAAGAGGCTCTGTACACATAACTATTTAGTGTGTTCTTCCACTTAGCACTGCAGCATCAATTGGTCAATAAGAAGTTCTTCACAGAAACGGTGACTGGGAGTTGGCATAGGCTGCCCAGGGAGGTGGTGGAGTCACTGTCCCTGGAAGTGTTTAAGGAAAGACTAGATGTGGTACTCAGTGCCATCATGTAGGTGACAAGGTGCTGTTAGGTCATAGGACCCAATGACCTCAAAAGTCCTTTCCAACTAAATTGATTCTGTGTATTCGAGATTTTGTTCTGTGATTCTTTTCTTTAATTTGTCTGTAGAAAGGAAATGTATCTAAAGCATTACAGACAGTGAACACAGCCTGCTTAACTGAATTCTTTTCTGTTATATATTATAACAATACACTTTCATGGCACTGCATAGAAGGGGCACTGCTGGAAGTCTCAGATAAAACAGAAAAATCCAGTCTTAACAACCTGTTAGTAAACTTCCCAAAGGACACTTGGGAAGAGGAAAGGCGTTGACACTGGTACTCTAGCCAATTTCAAAATTCACTGTTTACAGTCTACCTCCACTAATTTCCCCTGAAGTTACTGGATATTCTCTCCTCTTTCCTTTTCTAACTTTTGTGTAATGTTGCTATCTGTAGGTAAGCAGCTGTGCCATCTGACAACTGGATGAGAATATGATAGTACCTCAATACATGCAGTGTACTGGAAAAATTCTGGGAGACAAGCTCTGTAAAATAAAAACAAGCTGTGTACTAAATTAAACACTAAGCATTATTTTGCTGCAAAGTACTTAGGCTGCATGCAACAAAAAAAGGTTTCCTGTAGTACTGGCAAGAACTTAAGATACTTGGCAGACAGAGCTTGACAGTCCACTAGGAAATTACTCAATGGGATATAATTATTGAATATGTAACTCCAAAACCGCTGACTGTGACAGCCTCTGACTCAGAATAAAAAACCTTTCCTGTTAGTCTCCTAAAGAGTTAAATCATGGCATTTACTGAAGGGTCCTGCTGTTGTGGAAATATTTAAGTATCTTATCAGGACATAACATACCTACAATAAAAACACTCCAAACTTTAGCTAAATGTGCTATAGCATTTTGTCAGCAATTTCCTTGGAAAGACCAGAATTTATACAGCACATTAAGAAACCCTTAAAATATAACTGGTATGGTTCAGGAAATATATATAAAATATCAGGAAAAGGAACTGCAGCACTGCAGTTCTACATGCTGTAGAATCTAGTAGCTCTTTTAAAAGTGATATCCTACAGACATTTGTTTCATGGTTCCTCATTTTTTAATGCAACCAAAATAAAGTTATAAAATTAGAAGAGCCCCAAAAAAGACATTTACCCGTTATTAACTCTTACCTCGTTTCTGTAGTATTTCTTGCAGATCTGGCTTGCTTGCTGTGTCTGTCACAGCCTCTCCATCATTTTCCTTATCTGCACTATCTTCTGGTTTAGTAGATCCAACAGATAGAGTTTGGAGCTTGGTCTTCAACTCCTGCACTTCTGATTTCAGGAAAGCAGCTGGTCCATCAATACCTGCAGGCCAAAATGAAACAGAAATCCAAAGTCTAATTTCTTTATGGCCAAAGATACATCCCAGGATGGTGGCTCTTTTCATCTTTCCCTCCTCTAGCATCTCTTTAAAGTACTAAAATATACTTGTTCAATTTTTTTGGGAGGAGTCAGGCCTGACTCTGTACAGATTGCCTATTACTATAAACATATCAGTATCAGTTTCTCCCTATTTAAATATAGTGATTTTATCTACCTTTTTACAAGGGCTTAAGCAATTAAAACAAGTTTTATTTGTCATGCACATTGATAGTTTTATTTATTTATTTACAGACATCTTCCTTATTTTCTTTTCCTTCACATTGTTTGTTCGCTCCTGTACCAGTGAGTACTCTACAGTGAACACATAAATCAATTTGATAAAAGTATCAACAGCCATAGACAGAAAAAAAAAAACCCTCTGTCTTTTTGTTAGAATGAAATTTCCATGTTTAAACATACAACACAGCTGTGCACCACACTTCCCAATTGGTGGAGCCATCTTGATGTCAGGGTCTGGCATAATACCTCATATGTAGCACACAATACCTAAGTGTAGTTCCAGCTTTGGATTTCTTGTTTTCCCACTGTTTTCCTTCTTAAAACTTTACTGCTTTATCTAAGCATTGCATTTCTGACATGCTTACTGCTGTTAATCACTTCTTAACGGGATTTGTTTGCACTGAGGAACCTCAGAACTATCAAAGGTAGTGAATGAGCAGTTAAGTTTTCCTTTTAGTCTTACTGAAGACTCCTACCTTAAAATTTATACCTATCTTATTTCTCATTCTCTTCTTGATTTGTAAGTGTCTTTAAACAGAAGCTTTCTTACACCTATTTTAAACATTTAAATAAATGCTACCAAAAACATCATCACTTTCCTTCCCATCCTATGATCCTGAAAGGCATCTGGAGAACAAGACAAATATTCAAGAGAGAAGGGATAACATAGTTCCAACTATCTGATCTTCAAACCAGGTAACATCCCTTGTTTGGAGGTTTAAAATTCTACTGTGCATATTAATTTGCTATCAATAAAATGCTTCTATTTTAAGTAATAGCACATGTCTCAAAGCCTTAGAATGTTTCCCATTACTTTCTTGATGGGCTGATGGGATTCTGGCTCTCATAAAAAACTTCCTGACACTTCCATTAGAATGTAAAGCTTTCATTGCTGCTCTTTTTAGCTCCTTGTGACATGGGAGTCTTAAGGCTCTCACTACTGCATTTCTTTTCACTCCTAAAATAATGGTCACTATTTTACTGCAATATTTTGAGGCCACCAAGTTATTGCCTTTGGCCCTGATAGCACTTTGTGCTTGTGACTTTGTGGACCACTATAACCTGTCATGTTTCAGTTGTCTCAATGAAGCCCACAGAAAACAACAGATGAGGTAATAACTATCCAGAGCCTAACAATGTTCACACTTTTTGCTTGCTTTCTCCACTTTATCATTCAGTCATATGCAATCTTGAGGTGGAATATGCCATGACACCATAAGGAAACACCATATAAACAGTCACTACTGAATTATTTTCTTTATCTTAAAGCTTTAGAAGATTTTTTTTATTTTAGGATTTTTACATCCCCACCTTTATAGATGTTGCCAGCTCACTTCTACAGTTCTTCTAGCTTAACTCAAGGGAGAGATCACTCAAGGGCACATGAAGATTTATAGCTGTCACAAAAAAATCAAGGTGAGGGTTTTTTTTCCTTCACAGTTTAGTATTGCTCAACCATACTGTACTACAATTCAACTTTCGCATATAGGAAAGTATGTAATCAATCTTATCACTTGACCCCTACCACAGCAATGTAAGTGCCCATCTGTGACATAAGGCATGCACTGGGATTTTGGGGAACCCTCTTGCAATCACGTTGATTATTTACCATGTAAAACAACATCACTGTGGACAGGAGTAGGAGTTTCTACTAAAGGAGTCTGCTCCTCACACCCTTTAGGCTTTGACCTACGCAGTTTGGCCTCAGGATTTGGCTGTACCATCAATGGATCGAGACGTTTCTTCCTCTGCTTCTTCTCTAGAAGTGCTCTCTGTGGAACAAAGAAAAGCAGGAAACAGATGAGTAACCACATCTAGAGAAGTAGAATCCACACCTCAGCCACTGGCAATGACATGTCCCTGATCAGAATCTCAAATAAACCTGAAATATTCTTGCAAGCTCTTACAAAAATTCTACACGCGGATATCACCGTGATTTTGGGGGGGAGATACTGACTGTGATTCTCCATGAGAAGTTGACATGGACACCTGTTTATTTTCTGACCTGTCTTGAGACTACCAGTTAAATCCTGCCACCCAATCTCAACTGCAGCAATCCTTACCACAATTATATAAATTCAGCAGTCATCCATAATCCAGTATGAGTCAGGACTTGTAAAGGAAAAGGTTTTTATCTCAAGAGCTATCACCTTATAGGGAGAACTTAAAGAAAATAGTTCCCAGAAACCAATGCTGAGAGATAAGACTTAAAGTGGGGAGACGAGTAAATAAATAACAGTAATTAAAATAGGAACGATGATCCACTAAAAGGAAATTTGATCTACCTTGCAAAATTTTTCCATATAATTCAGGACTGAAAGGAAAGACTGGTAAGTCCAACTGCTAAAAATTAAAACATTATTTCTCCAAGATACCCATGCATTTGGTCCTTAAGATTTCCTACTCAACAAGAAGAGAAACAACTTCTAAACTTAAATCAAGGCAAAAAGGGACAAGGTGCCATTTTAAAGACAGGCATGCTTAGTCCTTAAAAACAAAGGTGATGCATGAAGAAGGAAAAAAATCATATTCTAATATTCTGCACCATTATGCAAACAATGTGCAAGCTCCTTACGGTAGATGCAGTTCAACCATGGCTGTCTCTTAGGTACCTTGAAAATGGTTTTTGATGATAGAAACCATTTTCTTTCCCCATCAAACTATTTTCACTTTCAATGCACCCACCAGATAAACAATTCATCAGTACCAACAATTCAATCCACTTGAGACACAGACATTTTTGGAGCCTCTTCCTCTCCAGTTATTCCTTTCCTCTTGTTTTTTTCCTCTCCTATTAGTCTTTTTATCTCAAGTGAGATTAGTTTCTCAGGCAACCTCTCCCTAAGAAATTCCAACACAACTCAGCTCCCGATTCTTTATTCTGCCTATTTTTTTCACTTATCTAAAAGAAAAAAAAAAAAAAGCCAAAAACCCAACCACCCAAAACCCAAACAAAACCAAACATACAAATCCTCAAATACAACAAACAAACAAAATAAATACAAATACCTTGAAATAAAATTACTTTAATTTCAACTCTGAATTACCCTTTAAAGACTGGACTGCAATACAGGTAGCGTTTGCTACTGCAAAATTATTTGCAAGGATTAGTCTGGAGAGCAAAAATTACACAGAATTCCAAAGAGATTATCATATTGGTCTAGAATAAGAAAAGAAAAATAAGCAGTAAAGTCAAGTTCTTAGAAATTGCTAATTACAGATGTGTTTTCTAGGAAGTTAGTCAGACTTTTCAGAAGAATTTATATCAGCTTGTGTTGTTTTTTCCTTTTCTAATTAAAGCTGAGGAAAAGTAAAAAATGTCATGATAATTTATAATTTTCCAAAGGGGAGAGGAAAAACAAAAATCAAAACATTATACTCAGAATAAGGATTTGGGAAAAATTGTTATCAAGGCTTCTCTATTTGACAAATAGACAGGCAACAAAAAGAAAACCCAAAAACACCAGCAAAACAGATACAACCTAAAGACAGTAAGAAAATAAGAATATACAGAGCTACTGTTAGAATGCAAAATTGAATTTGGGATCAACACAGGATATAGTAATTTCAAGAGTTATTTAGTGGATTATTCTATTACATAAGCTTTTTTAAACATTTCACTGGTCACCAGTCTAAATTTTAATTATTATTCTTACACACTTACATCAAATGGTATCTAGGACTCACCAATCCAATAAGATCAGCTTATATTAAAACAGTTTACTGCTGGTAGATGTGACTGATCTTCCTTTCTTGCAAGAACCACAGGACAATCAAAGTGACAAAACTTGATAGTAACTTTAACTTTTCTTAAGGGCTTCTCTTTACTACTTTGTGTACTGAGATGGAAAAAATAAGTGCAAGCCCACTGTCAGGACAGCAAACAGTAGTTCATTTTCTCTCCATACGGTGGCAGAGCAGCCTGCCCTTCAGTACCATGTATTCCCAGCCGTATTCCACTAAGGAAGTAGAAAAAGGAAACGTGTATTTTGTTTCTTTCGGTCTACTAATTAGGCTTTTCCTCCAGTTCAGTGTTACAGTAAAAACTCATATGTTACTACTACATAAAATGTAGATAGTTCATAATCAGGACACCAGAACACACAACCCATTAAATAAATAACAGATAGTAATTACCATGATTTCTCTGGGATTTTGTGCACTCCATGCATTAAATACTTCCAGAAACACCTCAGAAAACCATAACATCAGAATACAGGACGACTAGAGAATCACAAACCACCAACTACTGTTCAAATGAGATTTCAAGAAGTCACATGAGAATATCTAGTGTACTATTAAGACAACTAGTTTAGTATTCTTTCTCCAGCTGTGATGACAGGAAGGTGATATACAGGGAAGTTCCACGCACTCCAGCCTTGAAGATGTAATCCTATACTACTTATTAGTTGGTACAGTCCTAAGCCTAGCAGGCCATGCAGATGGATCCTAGCTAGGGAACATCCTCTCCTCTGCTGGCTGCCCTGTACCTCACGCTGGGGCATCAGTGACGATGGCAGTGACGGTGGCATCAGTGAAGCTCCAGTCAAGAGTAATGCATCGCACCAGGAGTGCTCAGAAACACGCCAGGCTTCGTGCTCCCCCTGCACAGGGAGATGGCAGCATTGCACTTGGAGAGGCAAACGCCTCACAAGACTCAAAAATATTCTACTAATGAGGAAATAAGCACTGCCTGAGCAACCACACGCTCTTGCCTCAAGGAAAAGGCAGTAGTCCAGGAGAAAAAAAGCATCCTGGCAGGCAGAGTCGGTCTATAGATGGAACTTCATGTCATGCCCTATTATAAATAATATTTTACTGCAATTATAGGGTTTCCAAACCCATCATAAAGATGAATGGACAGGCACGTCTCTGCTATGGCTTATTCCAGATTCTCTGTATGACCAGAGATTCTATATATGATCCTGCTGGATTAAAACATTTTACATTTTTAAAATTCCAATTCCTATAATTGTTTATGGCAAATTAATCAAGCAAGGCATCAGTTACAACCAGCAGCAAGTCCATCATATTTGGTGATCTCCTATTGACCTTTGTTAATTCAGAAGTCATAGTACTATTTATGTAAAAGTAGACTTTAATATTCAAACCTAATTCTAAAATCCTAAATTAGAGACTGTTAGCACTTCTCAACAATTCTCATTTGCAAAGGGCAGGGTGTTAAAATATATTTAATTAAACTTTCTAGCTTTTTTCTTGGCAGATGATTACAATCTCAACCAAATCCAGGAAAGATGGAAACAAATTTGTGAAAGGGAATGAATTATTTAAACTGGCCTCTTCATGATGCAACTGACAGCTGCTCCGAGGGAATTCCACCCAGCCCAGCAGTTTTATTTTGGAGGAATAGCCATGCATCCCCATGAAACTAAGCAAACACAGATCACAGTACCCAGCACTAGGAGACAGTGATTATTACCAGCTTATGACCCAAGACCAGTTCTAAAACAGACCCTGAGGTTTATCACCAAGCAGTCAGACCATCCTTAGTTTTGGAACTTCTTACCAAATGGCATTTGACACTAAATGCTCTTTTATAGACTATTTGAATTAATTCTATTTTTAAATCAATTGTTTGTTTCTTTTTAAACAAGTGTGACTTCATAGCCTACAGATAAAAAACTACTGTAGCTTCCACAAACATGACCAAATATCTCTTGACTCTGAAGTGCTTTAGATAAATGCCTATATAGACCCAGATAAAGTTGGTAATAAATTCAGTGCTGGAATTCAAAGCCTAGCAAACTCAGACTACAAATAATGACAAGGTTCTGGTAAAGAGGATTATTACCCACTGCAAGAGTTCCCTGAAGACTGTTGTGTCTGGACTTAAATATCCTCAGCTGAGAAAGTGCCTTCCTAAAAACCATACTTCAATGTGAACAAGATGAGTTTAATGCAAGACAGTGATCTGTGGTCCATGTGAAATGGCTAGCTAGAGAATTATAAGTCTCATATCTTCTAATCTATTTATAAGTATTTGAAATTTCACAGAGAAAGAATATTAAGGATGGATACTTCATTGCTTTGAAGAATATGGTAATGCAAGCATCCGGCAAAGAGCACTTCAAAAATGGAGATCTATAGCCTAATAATTGACCCATGCTTGGCTGTAAAACTTTTCATTGTAGGAAACAAGGAAAGGTCAGAAGAGGCTGGAAATCCTTCTCAACAGCAGTGTTAAAGAGATCATTCTATAGGTCATTGAAAATATTTCCTTTGGGATAATACCCTACAGTCTTCCCATCTTTTGATTTATTCCTGCTCTCTAGTAGCTCAATCCCAATGAAATAAGAAAACACATGAAAAATAAATTTATCAAACACACCAAGTATACAAGCCATGGCAAGGTTGACTTGAATTAATGAAAACCATGGTAAGACCAACCATTTTTAGTGCTTCACCCCCCCATTTCTCAAGTCTCTAGAGGGCTGTTTGATTTCCAATACTTATTTTTACCAGCATCAGTACTATCATTTACCTGATTCTGTAGTTTCATCTGTCGCAGTTTCATGCTTTCATCCTCAAAGATGCTGCAAAAGCAAAATAAATAAATAAATAAATTCTTGCTATTAAACAGTTTGCATTACAGGAACATAGGATATTCTCAAACAACAACTTCATAATCAAGACTTAAAAATGACTGTTAGACATTACTTCCATCTCACATGAAGACCAAGACACACAGTATTAAAAATAAAACATCATATTCTTTCATAAATAAGACTGAACTCTGGTTTAGTCCCCTCACTAAACCATTCTGAAAAGATTTTGAAGTCACCAAAGGCTTCATTACTGGTAGCTGGATTACAAACCTCTGTTGAGGTGGGCATAGGAAACAGTTACACCTGAAGGCTTAGCACAGTTCAGATCGATTCAGTAAAATCCCTGCTCCTTCATAGGATATCTGATTCCAAATTAACTCAGTTTTGTCTTTGGGTCAAAACTACATCATTTTCTATTCCTGCTAGATGTTCCAGAACTGTTAATACCTGAGAGAATCTGTGTTTGCAACATCTGACATTAATTCCTAAATAAAAAAAAATTATTTCCCTATTTCAGTATTTAATAGATAACTTTTATAAGAACTTTAATTTTTTGTTCCAAGTTGTGTTCCATATAGACTTCCCATTTCCTTTTGTATGATAATGAATCATTCCATAAAATGCAATTTAGAGGAGTTAACCCCACAAAGGGGAAATGTTAAATGGCTATTAAGCACATATTCTGCTGACCACAGTTCTGCTCTTTCCTTCAACATACCTTTGACAAAGACCTCTTTGGAAGTGAGAAAGCATCAGGAAGAAGATACTTAATGTAGGAAATAGACAAACTTTATATATTTTATTAATAGAATGCAGAAAAGCAGGGCAAGCCACAATTTCAATTTAAACAGGAAATTCTCTGTCTGGTCTAGGTATCCATAAATGTCCAACGATGTGAAATCACCAGCTGGCACGCAGTGCTGCATATAACCCTAACAAGGAAAACCAGAGATGGAGAGAGAGAGAGAGAGCAGAGCCGGGGTTTGTGCAAAACACATGCCATGGAAATTGGATTACAGCACACAGAGCTAAGGAGAGAAATCTCAGAGTCCCCTTAACCCCTAACAAACTACATTTGACTCAACTTCAGGTAAGTAGATGACAGATCAGAGGTCCTTAAAGACAAACTACACCAGTAAGCACAGATGTTGCTCAGGAAGGTTGAAATATGCACACAAAGAGTTCTGTACACATATTATATATAACAACTTGTATAGTCCAGAATTGATACTAATTGTCCAAGCAGTAGTATTTTAAAGCAAGTTAAGACTGCCATTGCTTTTTTACTCCACAGTTTCCTTATTTCTAGACTTCTTTTTTTCTGATGCATTTGAAGTGTCACACAAGAGGTCTAACACCTTGAAAACATCTTGTTTCTAAAAACTAATGTTACCCCTCACATGGACCTGTAATACAGTGTCTTAGATTCTAAGGGAATGGAGGGCCTGGAAAAATCAGTGTCTTTCTTGAAGAGGAATGGACAGCTTCTGTGTATCCCCAAAGCAACGATTGCAGTAGTACAGTCACCTTCACTTGTAAACAACCACAACTTAAGAAAGAAACAAGCAGAAGCACATCTACTGAGTGCAGCACAATATACAACAGTTGTCACACAAAACTTCAGCATAAAAGGTGTTTATTATTTTTACACACATTATATATAAAAATATAATATGCTTATTATTTATAGCATAGATGATGGAAAAGGCCATCTTTAGCAAAGTCTGAAAAACAACTGAAAGTTCCACTTAAAACAGTCATAACAAAAACCAAAATGAAACAAAAAAAAAAAAAAGGGGGGGGGAGAAGAAATAGTCCTTTTCTTCTCGTACACCTACTGACTTAAGAAATTGATTACATTTGTTAACTGCAGTCGAGAGTTTGTTATAAAGCTATCTACATGCTTGTGGTCAACAGCAGACTTACAGACATGTTCTGATGAACACGAAGGTGTCCTGTGTAGATTCAAGCTGCTATTTGTGGTTTTGTTGCTTTTCCTAGCAGAAAATGTATCCCCAAACAATTTGAATCTCTTTTTTATAAAATCAGAAGAAATAAACACAACCACTGTAGGAAATAAGTTTATAAGGTTTCCCTTCCACCTGGAAGATGACAAAGTGCTGAAAAAGTAGGACTCGCACACATGCCTTGTAGAAATCTTCAGTGAAAATTATTTACTTTGTATGTTAAATTATTTTCTACCCAGACTGAAAAAAAGTTATATTATGTCACAGGAGCACAACATAGACTACACTGTGCCTCAACTCTGGCCACTTAACTGATGCTTGAACTTAAAAATTCTAACAGGTCACAGAGCTTGATAAAGCAAAAAGATAAAGAAGTGTTCTCTCTTACAATTTACTTTTAAACAGACGAAAATTGCTGAGTAGAAGGCAGAACAAAAAGAAAGCAACCATCAATGCTTTCCATTTTAAAGTGCAAGGATTCAAACAAGCAGTAAAATAAGTCATGAGCAATGTAGCACTATAAATATTAGCTTTAAAATACCCCTTTAACACTTTTATTTACTGCAACCTTTCTTCCAGAACTCATCATTACAAAAGTATAACATCATATCCAGTCAAAAAAGAGATTCCCACACTTCAAGCCTTTTTCTACCCCCCACAGCAGCGCTGGTGTTATTACAAACTTTAACAGGAAAACGCTGTGCCAGAGTCACTCCCACAGCTCACCACTAAGGAATGTAAGTGATGTGCTAATCCAGCTGTGGGCTTCAAACAGGAATCCTCCTTCAGCTGGACTGACAACACAGATCAGTGCTCTCTGGACATGCCCACACCAAACCACTGTGCTCTTTGGTTTGCATTTCTGTTTGAAGGGTTTATGTGCAATAAGAATAATTAAATAAATATCCATCAGGAAGGGGAAAAATAAGCAGAATTTCCACAGCTACAACACCACAGTTAAAAACAGGGGAAAAAAATCCCAACCACCAAACCAGTAGCCCATTAACCCTTGATAAAATAAGAACTGAAAGTTTTCAAGAAATCTGTATCAATGTCCTCTCCCCAACCACTGCACAGCAGCCTAAACAAGATTGTGCCCACAGACACAGCTGCTGCATTTACCAGAATCCACCTGCAATCCTACTTAAGCTGCATGACAGGTAAGAGGCACATGCCACAGACAAAGGAATGATTACCCAGAACAGAACATACAAGGAAAGAGTACTGATAGTGCAGAATACAGAATAAGAATGGGAAGGCAACTTAAATAATATTTAATAAAACATGGAAGAAGATGGCAAGACGCAAAGGGGTTCATAGAATTGACACAGAGGAACATGGGGCAAGAAGTTTTATTTTTAACTGGTAGCATCTCAAATTCCTACTGAAATCAGAATCAGCCTGGTTTTCATTTCATAATCAGAAATTAAAGTGTTGCAATAGGAATATGCAAACTTATTATAAATGTATTTGGTTTTTCCTAGCTGTTTTCAGAATACCAAACAATCACAATGAAGGCATAACTCACAAATTATTTAACAGATATTCATATATGCAACTGAAGCTTCCTTTTTGTGTGGTTTATTTTCTTTTCTGTAAAAAAGGCATGCTATGTCTATTGACAGTTCTTTCAGAATGGACATATTTTTCAACAACACTGAAATTTTGGCATTACAAACTATGAATAGGCAGAGGTAACACTCTTGTTTTCATTGCAGCTTGTCTGTGTTCCTAAGAATGCTGTACTTGGGGAAAAAAACACCCAAACCAACAAACAAAATACTTATGTTCTAAGCACTTGGCAGTAATTACCATTGCATCAGCCAAACACAAACTTACAGTGTAATCCAACTCTAAGAACAATGAAAAACCCTGATATTAAAGCAGAATGTAGAAAATAAAAGCAATCCACCAGCCTGAAAATGTTCATTCCATTCAAGGTCCACATAAGAGAAAGGACTCAAGAATTAAAGAGAGCTCAGCAGAAAGTTGAACAAATTGACCAAGGACTGGAAAGTGCACCTCTTAGCAAGATCCTACAGTTTATTCAAGAGAAAATCAATACACTCTCCACTGTATTCCATGGATTTGAGGCTACACATGACATGAATGAGAGAGAAGAAAAAATCCAGAGATAAATAACTGAAGCTAAACTAATTCAGATTGCAAATAAATTTTTAATTTAACACTGTGACTAATTAACCATTAGGATAACTCATGGAGCTGTGGATTTTCAGCAGAACACAACAGGTTTTAATCAAGCTTGAATATTATTATGTTAAAAGTGGCTGTTGTAGACTAAGGCTATGGTTTACCTCCTATCTAGGATAACCACACCTGAAATGAGAGAGCTAAGCATTCTTCTTTCAAGTTATTTCAATTAAATCCCCTTTATATACTGACTGTTGAAGGTAAAAGGAGGCAAAAAGAAAAAAAGGAGGTTGTCTTTATCATGGATCATGGACTAGTTTTGAAAGGAATTGACTGGCTGCAGTTATGAATGAGAGGCAATAAGCAGAGAAAGAAAGAAAAGCAACAGGAAAGAGCAGCCTGTAGAGACAAAATGTTCTACAAGACTGAGAACTTACTGGAAAGACAGATTTGAAATATGTTAAAGAAAAACACCCATGATAGTTTTCCCTGCATTCAACAAAATGTACATTCTTCATATTCCACTAAAGAAATACTATACTCAGTTTCTCCTCCTAAACAATGTAACAAAGTGTTACAGATTTAAAGGTTTCCCAGTTAGCTAAGTCTATCCTGCAATTCAAGTAGTTAAAGGTTTGGTAAAGAAAAAGCAAGCTTGGCTGCCTCTTTTAGGACGAAGGTCAGACTAGCTGACAGAAGCAGACCTC